TTCCCAGAACAGTTACACAAGCACAGTTATCGGACGAGAACTGGCAGTAAGTTTTCCCAACCAGACTGTTATGATAAAATAAGTCGTGAAATGAAACACTAACATGAGGAGCAGTACGTAGTGGTGGTTGAGACAAAGAATAATAACCAAAGAGAGATTATAAAAATATATATGAAATGCGACCAACGAGTAATTAGTAATTGATTCAGAAAGCCCGGTTTATGGCAGAGACAAGAAGTCACAGATAAAATTGATAGATCAGCAAGATAAATGTAGTGAAACCGCAGCATAGGGAATTTTCAGTCTCTAGATTACGAGATTACCAATCATCCTGAAAATTTTACAATATGATTGAGACCGTTAATAGGTACCATTTAGTTTTATGAAAAGAAGAGAGAAGGCCAAAAGGAGACAGTCAAAATTTGACGATTAAAAGATTAACCCTACGAGCCACAAGGCATGAAGTTATGTAACTAAGGATTTATTGTAAGGCAAGTAAGGAACAAGCGGAACAATTTTCCTTCCGATGTGTACAACATAATCAAGCTCGCACTTACACAGGCCAGAAGGTCTCCCTAAGTACTACAATAAAGATACTGAGGAAATAAGGAAGAAGTTTCCCACCTAATGCATATGAACTAAACGAAAATATCTTGTAACAACAAGTCTCACTACACAATTGTATACACTCCATAAGAAAGTGGCACCTATCATGGCTAAATGAAGAAAAAAAAAACTCATCAAGGTGATGTGTTGCAGATCAAGCGTAGGAGCAGAGGTATAGAAATGATAGTATCGGTGGTGCATAAGACAAGGCCAATATTCATGCAGCAAAACAAGCGCGCGAGGTGGAGTAGAACACCAGGAAAAGTTAAATGCTTACGATTTAAGGGAACCAAACCTGAAAAGGAAAGAAAAAAAAAAAAAAAGGCCAACGACAAAAGGGGAAAAAATGTTTGGTCTAGCAAGATTAGAAGGAAGGTTGCAAGTAGTATAAAATAGATAAGTGGTAGTCGTAAGGTAGAAAGTATCGCAGAGCAACATAGTTTTTAGTTAGATAAGGGTAAGGATGGTAAAAAGGTGAGTGAGAATTGACGAGAATATGTATGTCCTTGGGATTAACCCATCAAAGAACAAGGTGAATGGATGATTTCCACTATATAATAAAAAGCTCGTACAGGCCTGAATGAAAACAGAGGAGTCTAAACTAGGAGCACATTAGAAGAAGAGAATATGACGCCTGTCACTTCGGGCTGTGTAGGTGTGGGTAGAATAAAGGGTGTAATTGTATAGATAAAAGGATACATTTGGCCTTTGATTGAGGGAAAAATTTAAAGAGAAGGGATTTTATGAATTGCACGGGATTGGAATACCCCCTTAGGGATGAGTATGAAATCATATTAGATGCCTATGAAATACGGTTGATTAATGGAAGTATCAGTATGCGTCCCTAGGTGGATGGCAAATCACTTCAGATATTCCCGATGGACATGAGCCCTAGTGAAATTGTACTACGTAAGGGGTTTCAGGTTAATCAACGGTAGACTTATGGATCAACATTAAGTGAATCACCATGGATGATTATGGAAATCAACATTAATTATCCAAAGGTGTTTATGTTTTGAAGTCAAGACGAGTTGTGGAACAAAAGTTGGGAAAAAGGTCCATCACAAGTTCATTATATTAATATGCCTGAAAATTTAAAGGTCAAATGTATATGCAACGCTTTTCTCCCAATATGCTTGGAACAATGGGATGATCTACATATCAAATTGAAGATCTACGAGTCTAGTTTCCAACGCATTAAACCGTTTGTCGATACGATATTGGAGTAGAGAGATATTTGCATTTTCGCGAGACAGCGCAGACTGGTAGGTGACAAGTAGGTGCATCACCTACTTGCCAAAATGAGAGGACTTAATTAAAAGCCCCAAAGTCGGCCAAGAGGGGTCTTTTAAGGGAATACAAACTGAGTTATTTCACCTGTATTTCAGACCAAGAAAACCTAATTGAACCCCTGCAACTCCTCCCCCAAAATCCCACACAAACCCTAGGGTATTCCGGGTGTTACGACGCAATTCTAGTGCTGAAAAGTCCGGACAGCATGCTAGTTTCTCTTTCTCCTTCTTGTATCCGTGTTGAGGAACTTATTTTTGATGAAAAAGGACCAGGTTTCGTGGGTGATACTCAGTACAAGGTAAGTTTATGCTTCTCCTTCCATTATCTATGCGTTTGCGAGTTGTAACTCGATCGTAAAGAATAGACCTAGCTAGTTTCGGAAGAATGGTATGTTGTTTGATATTGTGCAATGGTTGGCTAGTTGACATTATATTGTCATTCTTCGCCACGAAAGAGTTGCTTTTTTACGTAGCGGAGAGGTAATTTCTGGCTTCCTTAATGTATGCTTCCACTTGCTTTCCATTTATTCATATTTTCTTTTGATCAGCAGATCAAGAAAACTTAAAAGACTTAGTATTACGTGGTACTGCTACTCAAAACTACAACGCGAAGGCTTCATTGAAGTAGTTCAAAAGTTGCCATCATTGGAAGAGCTAAGTCTGATAGACACTACTATCACAGCTAAAGCTTTTGAAGCTCTTGAACGCTCTTGGTCATGGTTTAAATCGTTAGAATTGAAGAAGATCTCCTGTATTACGAAATCCGGTGAAGAAATAAATAAAGAGGCTCTAGCTATTGCTCAAAGCCTGCCTGCCCTGCGCCGCCTTCAGCTCATTAGAAATTATATGACAAATGAAGGCCTTCAAGCTATTCTTGATGGTTGTCCTAATCTTGTATCACTTGACCTGCGGGGATGCTTTAATGTTAGACTCGACAAAGTCTCGAGTAGTAGAATTTCTCGACAGATTAAGGATGTGAAGCTCCCTCATGACACTATGGAAGGTTTTGAATTTTGATTTGAGCCTTAGGTTGGAGGGAAAGGGGGGCAGTTGACAAGTATGACATATCTGATGATTACTTTGGTTTTTGAAAAGATATAAGTGCATTGTTTTTAGCATTGGCCTTATTAATTCTGAAGTTTTGGGCTTTTTCTTGTCATTGGATTGTGAAGCTCTTCTTGCCACTTGAATTTTATCAAGCTTATATTTATTAGTTTTATATTTATTATATTTAGTGAGCCGAGTCTGACCCAAACTTGTACACAATCTAACTGCTCCTATATATTAATGTACAAAGAGTCCTCTCCACGACATCTACTCTACTATATAGGAGTTAGAAAAATATAATGTAACGATTAATTTTTCGGTAAAGGGTCAAATATACTCCTGTACTATGAGAAAATGTTTAAATATATCCCTCGTTATACTTACAGTCCAAATATATCCCTGTCGTAATATTATTGGTTCAAATATACCCCTCTTCCGTTAAGTTTGTCCAAGGTGGACATCCAATCCTATGTGTCACTGGCATTTGATGAGGTGTATGTCACATGGCATTCCACCTTAGCACTCCTAACCCATTTTACCCCTCCCTTATATTTTATTTTCCACCACGAAAATTTTCTTCTACTCCACTACCATTTCCACTATTACCGCCACCATTTAAATTTACAACCTTAAATTAAGAGTGAAGAGATTCCAAGAATTCCATCACATTTATGTTAGTTGCGTGTTAATATGATTCAAAATCATCGAAAACTGATTTTGTACACCAAAGACAGACTATGTAAGTGGGGGATACAAGTAAACCAAACAAGTCCCTTATGTGATCAAGAGATGGAAAGTCATCAACATCTCTTCTTTGCCTGTACATTTTCAACAGACACATGTGGGAAATTACTAGCATGGCAGGGAATTACAAGAAGGATATATGGTTGGGCTGAGAAGATTGAGTGGGCAACAAAACATGTCACAGGCAAGGGCCCAAAAGCTGTGATTTATAGAATGAGCATTGCAGGAGCTGTATATCAACTGTGGATGGAAAGGAATCGAAGAAATTTTTAGCAGGAAAGGAGATGCAGTGAAGACATTACTAGGCAGATAATTCAAGAAATGCATTACATAGGCAATAGGCAGAGTAGTTTGAGCAAAGAAATGCAACATTTGAACTTTACCCATAGCATGAATGAAAATAGGTAGAATGAGTAGTATACTGAGTTATTGGCCTTCTGTCCAAACTTAGGAGTTTTGTTTGTACTTGTAAATATTTTCGCTTAGTAATAAAATTTAATTACCAAAAACAAAATCATCGAAACTTTGGCGGGTGTAAGATTTCAATATGATGGTCATCGTGTGATGAGACCTATTATAATTTAGTAATTACGTTGCTACTCAGTGTGTAGACTAACAAACAATGAATTGAGTGATGTCATGAGAAATTGATATTTACAATTCTTTTTTTGAACAAAGGAAGCATATAT